CACCTTTTCACGCCGCCAAAGGGTGACCGACCCTACCCCACTCGTGGTGGCATCGGCGTTTTGGTCCCAGCAAACCTGCAGGGGCAGGCCTGTGGGGGCATGATCACGGAGGAGGGCCGCGGTTTCGTAGCGGTTGCCCTCCCGCGCCTGCGATGGACCCTCATGGTGGTCTGCGTGTACCTTCAAAGCGCAGTGGGGATCCACGGAGGATGGAAGTCCTCGCGGCCCTCAGGCCGCGCTCCGGGACTTCTGCAATATGGATCGTGGTTGGGGACTGGAATTCACCTCCCTCCGCCTCCCTCCGAGTTTCAGGGCACTTCCGTGGGAGGAGCCCTCCTCGCGCCTGAGGGTCCTACCATCAACACGGGCAATACCCTCGATTATGCCCTGGTGGCGAGGCCGCTGGCTGCGGCTCCCGCCGACCCGGCGTATGTGGCCCCGGGTCTGGGGACGATAGGGGCCCAACCCATCCGGGCGGACCCCCTCACCTGTCGGTTCGCGGGCATCACCGCCGGGATGGCGGCACGCCACTTCACCAACGACGGAGGGAGAGGCACCAACAACCCCCTCCCGCACAAGCCCCTCATGCAGCAAGATTGGTCCTACCCGTGGCGGGGCCGCACAGCTGCTTTCTGGAGCCGAATGGCCTCTTTCTGGGAGCAGCCGGAAAAGCACATCCGGAACATTGCAGTGTTGGTGAGCAACATGCCACCTGAGGCGGTGGAGGCGACCACCCTCCACCTCACACAGCAAGGGATTGAGGCCTCCTCTCCCCAATATTTCCTCTGCACCCTAGGGCCGTCGGAGGGGGGCCGTTCCTCCACCCTTGCAGTGGTCCGACAGCTCCGCGACGAGGAGCACCAAAGGGCCCGAAAGGCCGAAACCGACGCGGTGGCCGAATGGCTCGCAACGGGCACCCGGCGGGGCATGCGACCGTTGTTTCGCTGCCTGTCTAAGGCGGAGACCAATGTGGCGAGGCCCTTCGCCGAGGTGGCAGCAGAGTCGAGGCCATACGAGCGACTCAAGTACTGGGCCACTCTGTGGCAGGCCCGGGGAAGGCCAGCCCCCTGCCTCTCAGGGCTTCGCCAACAGGCCGTGGAGCAAGCATGGCAGCTGCCCGCGGTCACGGGGCAACAAATGTATCGGTACATCCGCTCGATGCCGTGCAAGGCCCCCGGGCTTGACGGGTGGGATGTTCCCTTTTTGAAATCCCTCTCCATCGAGGAAGTCCATACCCTCGCCGACCTATGGAGAGAGGTGGAGCTGGAGGGCGTCCTTCCACACCAAGCCTCCTTCACCCAGTACGTGATGCTCCCGAAAAACGAGAAGGTGGAGAGGCCAATCGGCCTGATGTCCACCTTCCTGAAATTAGGCATTACCTGGACCCCCGATTTGGTTATATTACGCCCGGTGTTTTTTTTTACGCACAATTACGCTTGAGGTTCCGGGTTTACGAATTTTATGGTTGCAGGCCTTTTTACGGGTTTCACGTTTCATCCTCATGGGGGCTATAGACGCTTGGGGTTTTGATCCTTAAACCCTGCCGGAAGATCTAGAATTACGCTACACAACCTACGCTTTTTTATGGCCGTTCTACGCTTTTCCTACGCATTTCCTACGCTTATTTATGGTTGAATTTGCGTTAGCTTTGGGGTGGGCTCGGTGCGAATTTATGGTTTTCTATGGTTGGTCTAGTGTTTTTTATGGTTTTTTATGGTTGTTTACGTAAATTTATGGTCATTCGGGGCCAGGGCTGCAAGTTCATCAGGATTGGGATCTTGACCTACGCTTCTTTATGGCCGTTCTACGCCGCTCTACGCTTTTCCTACGCATTTCCTACGCTTATTTATGGTTGAATTTGCGTTAGCTTTGGGGTGGGCTCGGTGCGAATTTATGGTTTTCTATGGTTTTCTATGGTTTTTTATGGTTGTTTACGTAAATTTATGGTCATTCGCGGCCAGGGCTGCAAGTTCATCAGGATTGGGATCTTGGTTCAAGGTAGGGAGGCAGGAGTTTTGGGGTTTGAAGGATATTTAGGGTTGACAGATACCATTTGGGTTCAGGAATGCTATAGGATAGATGGCTACATATGGCATCCCACAATAAGACACAGAAAGCAGCATTATGGACATTTACGCCCGGGTGGGTTGACCTACGCACAAATACGCCCGCCTACGCTTCGACCAGAAATTTACCTCACTTTCAGGGTTCCAGGTAAGTGCCGGTGGGAGCTGGCCAGCTCGTGGATTGAGGCAAACCGGCCCTTTCTGTGGTGGGATTGCCCTGCCATCCCGCAGCACCCACGATGCATCCCTGCGTCGCGCGTTTCTGTACGAAGCGTGCAGAGTCGACAAGGTGCACCGCTGCACCATTTTCTTCGATTTGAGCACATTTTATGAACGCGTGAGCCACGAAAAGTTGTGCGAAGAAGCAGCCCAATGGGGCTTTCCGCCGCTTCTTCTCAATTTAGGGATGCAAGCCTATCGTGGCGGTCGCATCGTGACTGCCGACTCCGTCGCATCACCTTGCGTTTACGCTTCTAGAGGAATAGTAGCGGGCTGTCCGCTAGCTCCTCTCCTTTCGAAGCTATCAATAGGAAAGCCAATCAGGGCTGCCTGCGCGGGCACCCTGGCGGACTACGTAGGGTGCTGGGTGGACGACGTCTCGGCCGACGTCGTTCACAAAACCCCGGAGCGCGCTGCCACCGGGATCGTTACCCTTTTTCGTCGCCTCCACGAGGCGCTGGAGGCAGAGGGCAATGAGGTGTCGGCCTCAAAGACACACTTCATGGCGAGCTCACCGGAAGCGGAACGCGCACTCCGCCGGAAGCTGGGGAAGGGCGATCCCCCGGTGCGCCAAACCACCAAGGACCTTGGCATGGAAACGGCAGCCGGGCGACGACGCACCACTTTCCAGTCGGCGGCGCGTCGCTTAAAGGGCAACCGGCGTTTCGCGAAGCTTCAATCGCTACGCTGCCCCGGCTTTTCTCCATGAGCGTCATGGCCTCTGGCAACTGGGGGCACCAGTCCCAAGGGGTCTCGCCCAAGGTCATGAAGAGCCTCCGCTTTCAGGTGTTTAGTTGCGCTTGAGCTTGGGGGCTCAACAAAGGACCCGCGCACCTCCATCATTGGCCAGCACTGGGCGGCCCTCGGCAAAGTCCTCTGCGCGCTCGCGAGCAGTTGCTCGAGCGCACGTGGCGCACCCTGTGGACGCAGCTCCAGCGTCCTGTGCGGGCCGGTGGGGGGGCATGATCGGGTACCTGCTGGAATTGAGGGTCGAGGCCTCCTCCCCTCGCCGATGGCTCTTCCCGGAGGATTTGCGTCCCGCCACGATGGCCGGCCAGCAGGTGGGAACGCACCAGGTGGCTTTTAATCCCCTGGACCCCTTGGCCCACCAGCCGATCAAGGCGTGCCTCCTCGCTTTGCCGGACAGAAGGCGGCACGAGGCCATCAGCAGGCAGACTGGCTGCGAGGCGCTCGATAATAAGATCGACCACCATCCCGCGCCAGCTGGCCAAGGGCAGGACTAGCAACGCCCGTGCAGGTGCTCTCCGAATGGTGCACCAAAAAACAATGCGCTCCCGGCTGATCCGGCCTGGTGAACAGTGCCCTTTGTGCAGGGTTGGGCTTACTCCCCTGCACATGGCTCAGGAGTGCCTGTGGTGGACCGGCCGCTCTCCACCCGCACCGGCCAACTGGGCGCGACTCAGGGAGACTTACCCCTTCGAGTCTTCGAGTGTCTCTGGACCCGCCTCTTCCCGGCAACAGCCTCCCAGCTCCACAGTTACAGGAGAGCGAGGAGGTCACCGGGGTGGCAGGTCGGGTCCGCGTGCGGCGTCCTGCCGCCGGGCACCACGGTGCCCCAGGCCGAAGCATACGCGATCGCGCACGTCTGCGCTCGCACCCCGGGGGTCAGAAGTCCTCGGTGATCACCTGGCCGTGGCTGCAGGGGGGCGATCGCCGCGCGCACGCCTCCCTGACTTGGGTTAGGTCACGGACGAATTATTCGTCCGCGCTGAATTCGGGGAGTCCTCTATCTGGAGGAAGCAGGTCAATGACGCGGCCGACAACCTCTGCCGGAAAGCGGCGGCCCGGGCCACGGCCCAAGCCGGACAATGGTGCCCGGACGAGATCGATGATCTCGTTCGCGAGGTCACGGTGTTCCTGCAGCGCAGGGCATCCGTGCTGTTGGTCTCCCAAGAGCAACCGCCGTGGGATTTGACCCCGGAAGGAAAGCCCAAGCGCAGGAAGGGGAAGAAGCATACCCCCAAGGGCGCGCATGAGCCTGCGACCCCTGTAACACAGCCCCCTCACCACCGGCACAGGCCAGCTGCAGATGGAGGGGAGAACAAACGCCAACGGGTCGAGGCCCTCATTAGAGATAGGGCACCGGCGGGCACAAGTGGGAGGCCCACCCCACTGCCATCGCCTCCGCGGCGTGCTCGGTGTGCGGGCTGTACATAAAGCAGCTCATGCCCCTGTGGCGGTTCAACCGCATAGCCGCCCACCAGTGTCGGCACAGGGAATGCCCCATTCCAGTAGAGCTGGAAGTGCACGGGTCACACGACATGCACAACCTCGGCGACAGGTGAATGTGCAAAAAGTGTGGCGCGCAGCTTAGGCCAGGGCATTCTAAAGCTTCAAAGACCCTGCTTAGCCAGTGTGTGTGCCTACTCGTTTGAAGAAGGGGCAGATTGCCGCGAGTATGCTTAGTTCCTCACTCCCTGCGGCTACCCCCTCTCTGGCTCCAAACCCCAAGGCGTGCCCAGCAGTGGACAGGAAAAGGGTCAAGCCTAAGCCCCAAGCACAGCCCGAAGCCCAATCCGGCAGCTGTTTCAGGCTCGAAGCTCGAAACCGGGACACGCCCCCTAGCATGTCCCCTCCCGAAGCCAAAGCGAGAACCCAGCCCAGGACCTCCCGTCAACCCCACCAGTCCCCTAAGCCGGTAGGAGCCCCTGGTAGTGGTAGTTCTGCTACCCGCCTGCACCGGTTCTTCGGCAAGCAGGATGGAAACCAAAGGAGGAGGTCGCGGGAAAGGCAAAGGAGGAGCGGGCAACGGCTCGCAAGGCAGCCAACCCGAATGCCACGCAGTTCCCGCGGTCCAGCTGGGCGCGTAACTAGGCCGCCGGCTGACACCGCAGCTGCCTTCAGTGGGCGGGGCGCCACGGCGGGAGGCCAAGGCAAGCACCAGCGCAGCGCGACGGCCACGCCCACGGCCCCGGTGCCAGTGCCGAAAAAGTGCCCACTCCCGCACCCGGGCACAACTCAGCCGCTGCCGGTGGATGACTCCACCGACGCCGAGTCTATCGGAGGCTCCGATCTCCGCGGAGGAGCCACCGCCCCTGGAGGCTGGGGAGTTGGAGGAGGAGCAGGCAGATGATGCCATGGGCACGCCGGACGGGGAGCCAACTTCCCGCAGACCTCACGGAGGTAGAGGTGGAGGAGGAGACCCGGAAAGCCGCCCCTACGCCACCCGGGGCGAGGGCGGTGCAACCGCCCAGGGAACCTCGCGGCCAGAGCAGCCGCCGCAGCAACCGCCTGAGCACCCGCTCAGGCCAGTACCCCTCCTCGGAGGGAAGGATACCAGGGAAGTCCTGGAAAGGTTGCACATGCGCACGGGCTATAACTTGGGGGCCCTGCGTCTCTTCCTAGAGGAGACACCTATCCCTCTGGGAGACCCCTTGTGTATGAGTATGAGGGTGCCATCGACCACGGCCAGGTTGTATGCCACCACAGCCCAAGGGGACATGCTCTGGTGCATAGCGTGTCGTGTGAGGGCACCCAGCCCGGAACATATGCAAGCACACCTCATGACGGCAGCTCACGTGCTGGCCGTCGCAGAATACCTCGCCTCTTTCAGGGGGCCCCCCGGAGGGCTAGAGGTATGGGATGTTTCGACTCCCTCCAGGACGTGCTTCACTCCTGGTTTGAGGACGTGTTACACTCCTCGATGTGCTGCCCTGTCAGTTTTGCCGTAGAGCCGTAGCTCAGGGCGGGGACGTGTCACACTCCCCTGGACGTGCTTGCACTCCTTTGCACATCAGGGATGAGCATCTCTCCCGTAGGCTGTAGCCTCTTCCGCCCACGGGCGATGCCCTCCAAAGGAGGATGACCGTGCAAAGCACGGTTGATTTGTTGCACGACGATGGCCCACGGGCCGCGGACGCTCGCCGCCTCCCGACAAAAAGGAAAAGGAAGAGGTTTTGGAAAAGGAAAAGGATTTGGAAAGAAAGGTGGAAAGAGCATAAGGCAGGCCGAAGGAAAAGGCTACGAAAGTGACAAAGGAAAAGGCAAAGGTGGACAGAATGGACCTGTATGTTTCAATTGTGGTAAGACCGGACATTACTCTTCGGAGTGTTGGTCGGCACCAAAGGGAAAAGGAAAAGGAGGAAAAGGAAAAGCTCGGAATGTCCAAGAGACAGGTGAGGAAGAATGGTATGAAGAGCAACCAAGTTCTTCTACACAGGCGCAAGCCAGGCCACCACAAGGAGCCAAAGGAAACGAGCAAGTGCGTAGGTTGGTGACAACACCTATGCCAGTGATTGAAGAAGTGTTCGAAGACGATGATGACTACGTCGATCTTGTAGGAATGTTCGAAGAGATGGTGATGGATTATGCTGCAAGAGCAGTGAGAGTTGACCATAGCACAATGTGGTCAAGTATGACTGATGAAAGTGATGAAGAAGATTATGAGAAGGATGAACTTCACAAGTGGTATGAAGATCTGCAAGTGGACAAGCAGAATGCCAAGCATGCAAGAGAAAGAGAAAGGCTTTTCGGAAGTGTTCAAGATGAAGAGCCAGAAGTGCATCGAGTAAGAGCTGTTAACTCAAGCTACTCAGAACTCGTTGAAGTCGTTCTAGATAGTGGAGCGGATTGTCATGTACTTCCGCTATGCTACTACAGTGAAGACTTAGGAACAGTTGAGTTCCCAGCTTTGAGAATGGTTATTCAAGATGCCCAAGGCAACAGGATAAGAACTACTGAGACAAGAGCGAACATCACATTCGAATTCCAAAGGACTCATGGAAGAGTGATAAAGGTGAGAGATTCAGCTGTGTTCGGAGATGTAACACAGCCACTATTTGCAGTAGGCAAGTTGTGGAAAGTCGGATGGGGACTTGATCCTCTAGACCAGTTCAATGCTTACCTAAAGAAAGGTTTAGCAAGAGTGCCAGTGAGGTTTGCAAGAAATTCAACAGTGACAGACCTCAAGATTTACAGAGCTCAAGTGAAGGTTGAAAGAGATGAACCACAAGTGAGAAAGCTCACATTGATCAAGCAGATGGAAGATGACTTCGAGAAGATGAAGTGTCACCAAGGATGGTTTTTCATGTCAGATGGGAAGCCAGCAAGGATCGATTATGACAAGTACATCACATATGATCCCACAAATGACGACGTGAAAGCGTTCAAGTTCAGAACTACTTTGGTATCGAGGTACGATGGCGACAACATCGTATGGAGCGAACTGGAGTTTGTGGAGTGCGCTGAGAAGTGGGAAGACCGAGAAGAGATTGTGATAGATGCAGTTAAAGAGAACTCGGTGATCATCACGATCTTGGAGAGAAAGTCTCTGGTACTTGAAGAGTATGGTGAGTATGAAAGAACAGTCCCTAAGAAGAAGAAAAAGGAACAAGAAAAAGAAGTGGAAGCAGGAGACGTGGAGATGAAGGTTCACAAAGAAGGAAGTGATACAAAGAAGAATATAGAACAAGTCGAAAAGGAAGCAGCAGAAGCAATGGAGAACCTGTTCCCGAGTGAACCGCCTGCAGAAGAAGATATGAAGGAGTGGAAGAAAATTGAAGAGCAACTGCCAAGTTTAGGAAAGAAGATGGAAGAAGCGATGATTGTGGCAGGAGTCGAACTCAATCCAGAGAGTTCACTCAAGGAAATGACAACAGCATGTGAATTCCTGAAGATAAAGATAGGAAAGACTGGAAGTAAGTCTCAAATATGGCAACGGTTGAAGCAAGCCATATCAGCAAACAAGATGAAGGAGTTGGTTGAAATCTCCAAAGGACTGGAGCTAGAGTTCACAAGAGAACCAAAAGGAGAGAAGAGACCAGAAATGCCAACAGAAGAAGAAAGAAAGAAGCACGAACTGACGCACCTACCAAAAGCTGATTGGTGTGAAAGCTGTCAAGCAACAAGATCAAGAGAAGACAACTTCGATGTGTCAGAGAAGAAAAATGAAGCATCGTTAGTTTCAATGGATTTCAAGTTCACTGGAACCCGAGACGAGGAGAACACAAAAGACAACAAAGATGCATTGACAATCGGACTGGTGATGGTTGATGAAGCAACAAAGTTCGTACACGTCATTCCCGTAGCGACAAAAGAAGTGACAGCATACGTTGTTGAAGAAGTCTGCAGAGTGCTTATGCTGTTGAATTCTAAAGTCATTCTGAGAACTGACACAGAACCAGCAATGATTTCGCTGAGGAAGAA